AATAGGAAACATTATGGAAACCAAGTGAGAAACCCCCAGTGCCTAAAGACACACAAATATTTAGGGGTGGCATAGAAATGTTATAATAATAATAAAATAATAATATTTGACAGCCAAAGAGTTCAGATGTCCAACCCAAAGACACTTTTGCTCATACAAGAATGGTTCCTGAATTCTAACCATCCACTCCTCACACAGGACTCTGAGCAAACCATAATCAGCCAATGATTTGAAATGCCATTGTTTAAATGGAAACTAAGCAGAACTAATTTTAGCTGGATTGGGGGGGGGGGGCTTATTCTTGGCTATAATACCAGTAATCTAGAAGCAACTGGCAGATGAATTTTGTAAACCTCACCCCTTCCCTTTTAGTGAAGGTGCTCTGTAGCTAAAACTTTTCCTGTCATCTTTCCAGTTAAAAATTCAGAAAGGAGATTTCTAGCAACTCTCAGCACTCTTCTTATACTTAGTTCTCCTGCTTTATCTTTTAATTTGTTTAATTACTTTATAAGAAGATGCAAGTAAGTTAGTGACATTTAAACATTTTCCCAGCTTTTAATAATTTAGTAATGCACAAGCAAAAAAGCATATGCAAGATATATGTTGCACATTCCCAACAACTTGGTATCACTTTCTTTTGGATACTAATACAAATAGATTGATTTCATATTGAATTTTCTTTTCTCAACTGTTTCCTGCCTTCCACAAACCTTACACATGAAGCTAATGAGAGCCAGCATACTGTAGTGGTTAGACTGCTAGACTGGGATCTGGAAGATCTGGGTTCTAGTCTCCATTCAGCCACAAAGCTTGCTGGGTTCAGCCTAACCTACCTTACAAGGTTGTTGTAAGGATAAGACTGAAAGGAGGAGAATTATGTAAGCTCCCTTGAGTTCCTCGATGTAAATATAATGTAAATAAAGGATGTAAATATAATGAATAAATGTTTACATAAAAGTAAAATATCCCAGTTTTCTATAATATGATGGCTTTGCTGCTTCTGCTCTGTAAATCTTTGTGTAATTTAAATCTACTGACTCTCAACCAAGGATCCAAATTAATGCATAATTTCTCTAAAGCTCCAGCTCCCAAGTTACTGCTTCCTGGAGCTCAAGTTAGGGGACCTTGGAGAGAAGATTAATATATGGAAGGCACCTGCAACTCTCACCTATTGGTTGCATTCTCACATAACTCCAAGCCATGTTGGGAACTGCACGGGCCTGCCTTGTTGTTATGTATGAACCCAACATTCATGGTGAAGGGCAACACATGAAACTATCTGGTGAAACAATGGCTTGTTCTAAGGTTTCCACACTTCACCCCAGTTGCCATGTTTCCACGTGGTTTCAGCAGTTCTATCACAGTACCTGGGGATAAAAGTAGCCATGGCTACTGCAGATGGTCCAGCTGGAATTTTTTGTTTTTGTTTTGCTGCCCTGTTCTGCCTAGTAACTGCTGAGGCAGCTGTAGCCACGTTCTGACTGGTTGCCTCTGTGCTTCCTGTTGGTGCGCGGCTTTCCAAAGCCCAGCCACAATGACACGATCTCGCCTGGCATGGAGCATCATGTTGCACCGTTTCCAGCAGCAACGCCAGCAGAGACAGCCATGCTTGGCATTCCTGGCTAGTCACTGCCCTGTGCTGGAGCATTGCTTTCAAGTGACTTGTGCCACTATGGGAGCCAGTGGCCTCTTCCTGCGCATGCTGCCATGCATGCCAGGAGTGCACAGGTGGCACGAGGGCCTTCGCTAACAGGCGAGCATCCCAAGGAGCCTGTTTCTCTGGTTCCATCTCCGGCCCTCTGCCCCGCTCCCATCTTGTCCCTGTAAATCCTTGGGCCTTTCCACAGGCCCTGCTGGCCCCCTCCCACTCTGCAGCTGTGGGACTAACAGTGCCAGCCAATTTTCTCAGGCAGATGCCAAGACAGGAAAGTTTGCCCAGTGGGGGAATGCTTCCTCTATCTCTGGCATGGGTGCCCATGATGATGCCCTCCGGGCACCTGGCTGTGGCAGGGGCAGGCAGCCCCTGGGAAAGTGTCCAAGTCCTGCACATGGAGGAGCATAGACACACGTGGAGGAAGGGAGGTGAGTGTGAGAATGTGCTTGCTTGCACATTGGCATGGTGTGTAACAGCAGCAGGCAAGTTACTTCAGGGCAATGCACCCCAGGATTGGTTTACAGCCTCAGATACTAATGGGATACATGCCACCATTTGGAGGGAAGATGTAGAAACATGAAAACCACATGTGCGTGCTTGAACTCAGGACACAGGTGAGACACCCTGCTGCATCAGAACTGCTAAGCATTATGTGTAAAGGCAACCTATGTGCCATGCCAGATATAGGGAAATCAGGGAGAAAGGAGAGATGTTCTTTTCATTTGTTTCTGGCTGATGCTGCCAAATCGAGATTGTCCTTTTCTTTTGATGCGGAGCAAACATTCCTTCAGTTGTCTACACCCTTTAACAGAACATCAAACATCAAATAGAACTTTTATATCCCAATCAGGTTGTCTCAAAATCCATTCTTCCTTCTACAGACTGAAGTTCAGAAAGTATTTGATGTTTTACTGATGGGTGTGGAAGACTGGAGGAATTTTTGGCTGTCCCTGAAAAAACAGATGGATCTCAATTTGTCATCTCAATCAGAACTAAACAAAGAGAACAAAAGGTTTTTTGCTAAGTTTTCCCAAGCTGAACTTCATAAAGTGACTTGATAAAGTCTTGGAAAAATCAAAACCACATTTTACCACTACTCCATAATGATTAAAGTCTGAGACATAAGTGTCATATATTCTCACACATCTATTGATACAGTATTTGCATTCTCTATTTTCACCGTTTGATTGACATGTAAAATGTTACTGACAATAGAAGAGAAAGAAACTGTATTGTTTACATATATTGGGTCTTTGTTTTGACTGGAACTGAATCTCTGTCATGCCTATAACAAGTTCATTCTTATTAGTAGAAATAACTATATTGAGACAAATTGGCTGCACTTAACAATAAAGATATCAGTAGCACCAAATGTTGTATCTGTGCATAACTAATGATACAACAAAATGTATTCACTCTTACAAACACATAAAATGTAGAGATGGTGATGCTGTATAACTCATATGTAAGTATGAAAGGCACAGAGACATTCTGGTGGTACTTCCAGGATTTTTAATTGATTGCATACAATTAGTTATCTTTAAAGTTCTTTTATGCTGGTTTTTAAATATGCATGCCTAATACATTTGTATTCTTTCAAGCACTTGTCAAATTCTACAAAGTGTTATTATTCAAGCCACCTACTCGTTTCTTCTTAGCATTTTGTGTAATGTCAGCTTTATTATGTTAAACTGAGGCCACGATGAAGAAAACAGGATTGTAAGCCTATTTTCAAATGTACACATAAAGTAAATGCTACCATATGACTCCACCGCTGCAGAGGGGAATAATTTGCTTTCATTTTGTATCATCTAATACCAAGTGTCTCTGTTTTCTTTCAGTATCATCTGATGCAATCAATTAGTACAGCTTTATATCTACTACTGAGACATGCTGTGCATTTGGTATAAAACAAAGAGTGCTAAACTTCCTGTTCCATAAGTTCACAAGATGATAAAGTTAATAGGAACGAGGTACTGGCTCTTGGAGTGCTTCCCAATGGGCAGCTGCTAGAGCTGCCAATTAAAAGACAACAGTGGGGATCAAGTTAATCACAGCTAATAAGTTGGATTGATTGAAATAGGTCTACTCTAAATAGGGCTAAATTTGGATCCAAGCCATTGTAGCTTTTTCTCAATAGCAGAGTTTCTGTGTTAAAAGAAAAGATGGAAGGACTGGTGGGAAAGAGGCTTACAAATGGAAGCACCAACTTTCACAATAATAAAAGCACCATTCTCTCTTCTCACACAGTCCTGAACATGTGCCTGGGGCAGTACTGAAATCGATTAGGGCTGACAAGGTTACACTTAATCCAGAGAAGATGGAAGTCCTATGGGTTGGGAAATCAACTAATCTGGATGATACTTTAAATCTGGCTTGAAATGGGGTCACAGTCCCTCTAAAGGGCTGGTAGTGCTCCTGGACTCAGAACTATTAATGAAGGCAGAGATGACATTAGCTGCCAGAAGTGTTTTTTACTAGCTTAGGTTGGGTTTGCAGATCATTGCAATGCACTCAGTGCATTGGGGTGCCCTTGAAGAGTATTTGGAAACTGCAACTGGTACAGAATGTAGCAGCCAGAATGAGAACTGGGTATCTGTACTATATTACTCCCATTCTTCTCTTTTACACTGGGTGCCTATTAGTTTCTCATTTGAGCCATTAAAACCCTAAATGTTTTAGAACAATTTTAGTTGAAGGGCTACCTGTGTAAACCTAAGTATTAAAACCAATATCAGAAGCCCTGGTCTTTGGCCCACCAGGATGAGCTAGGGCTGGCTGGTACTAGGGACAAGGCCCCCTCAGTGGTGGGCCCACACCTCTGGAACTCTCCCCAGGAATGGATGATCTCATCACTTTTGGCTTAAAAATAACAACTGTCAAGGTTCATTTATTGCACTCTGTGCCTGGTGCTTTAGAATCATTAGCAGTAGCTGCTGTACCTATACTACTACTGGTATGCATGTGTGTCATTGTAATTTTATGTTCGTGATTTTATAATATTGTAAGCCACTTTGTGAGGCAGTCCACCCTGAAACATGAGTTAAGAAATTTTGATGATGATGTTCAACACCTATTTCATTCACCACTCGACTGAAACGTTTTGTGTTTTCAGATCCAATCCTTTCCTTTTACACTTCCTCTTTTTTCCCTCTTACCTTTTATTATGGTGCTTCATAATAAAAGGACTGACAAAAGTTAGATTAAGGTACAAAACAAAAGTTGTATTTGGCTGTCAAAAAAGTCTGCCATAGGGCATATGAGCTGTATTTTCCAAGAGAAAATAATATGCAAAGGAAATTGCTCCGCTTACTACAGTATCTTTACTGAAACCATCTCATCTTACCTGTAGGTGTGCTGCTGCGAAATGAGGAGGACGGGGTGATGGGTGGTGTGACCGGTGGAGTAAGGCTTCCACTGCTGTGGCGTGGAGGAGTAGATACATTCCCACGGGACACTGAGCTTGATAAGGTCAGGGAGAGTTTGGGCTGAATTTTTTTCTTCAGAGATTCTTGTTCTCGTCGAGCTGCATCAGTCATGAACCTGTAATGATAGTGACAACAATTATAAGAGGAAAGCTGTTGTGAAACAGGGGCATTGAACAAACATCCAGTCTAAACAACCTGTGCCATTCGTGTTATGCGGCTCTGGTGACTACAAGTTGTTCCTGGTAAATCAGAGATGGTCAGATGATCAGGGCTAAGCAGTAGCATAGACAATCCCATCAGTCCAGGATAACCAACAGAAAGTAAGTACCCATCATAGGTACTTTCTACCAGCTTCTGGCCCTTACAGTATCTGGCAGGGACATTCTAAAGATCATTTGGGCATAACAGTATCTCTACCAGATAGCTAAATATAAACAGATGCTTCAGTATAAAACATCAGTTGAACAATAATTCTGAGTATGACTGGAGTTCGAAGTATGACTGTGGACTGGAGTGCCACATCATCTAACTCCTCATGTTTCAATAATCTTTTAGCAGTATCTCCCACTACAGCACCCCAGCCCTGAACCTATCCTGTCCAGTATCTGTAATCTTTTCAGGATCTTCCTGCCAACAATTCCTACCTACTCCTAGCCCAAAGTCCTTCTATGAGGCATTCTTCCAAATGCATTTTTTATTCCAGACACCAAATCCAAATAGCTTGTCAACATTTTATTCAGTGAAGTTTCCACTGAGCTATTAGACTATTCATGAACATTCCATGTTTTGCCCTCCCGTCCCTTGAGATCGGCAGCAGAGGCCCTCCTCTGGGAGCCCTCCATGAGGGACATCAGGAGGCAAAGTACCCGGAGGAGGGCTTTCTCTGTGGTGGCGCCCCATCTGTGGAATGCGCTCCCCAGAGAGGTCCGTCTGGCGCCATCATTATTTGTTTTTCGGCGCCAGGCTAAGACCTTTTTATTTAAAAAATATTTTAATGCTTAATATCTGTAGGTTTTAATTGTGCAGCCAGGGAGTTTCTGGATTTTAATTGTATTTTGTACCATGTTTATTTATTTATGTGAGCCATCCTGAGGCTGTAAGCGATGGGGTGGCATACAAAAACTCTAAATAAATAAATGTATGTTTTGGGATCAGGTTATTTGAAGACCCACATATATGGGCCTTAACATCATCCTCAGAGGCTCCTAGAAATACCCACTAGGCTAGCAGATGTCAGAACCAGAACATCTTTGGAGGTGGCTCAACATCGATGGAATTTTGTGTAAGCCGTCCTGAGGCTCTTGCAAAGGACAGCATACAAATATCCTAAATAAATAAATAAATTCTGTCGTGTATCATGCAGGCTCAAAAGAAACTATAGCTATACTTCAAATGGCCCAATTTAAATAAACTGAACCTAAGTTAGTCCTAATTAACAGAATTATGAAAATAATAAACTTACATCCCATGATTTCAATGGATCAATTCTAAGTGGTCCTAAACAATTCCTAATTTTTTTCTCCATCTCAACAGGGCTTTCAGTTATAGTGTTTCATTTTCTCCCTTCAAATATAATGGCTCACACTGATTCTATAGGAGAAGGTGAATCCAAGCCATCATATTGAAAGTGAATTTACTAGCACTGTATCAATAATCTACTGGTATATTATAATTGCTATGCTAGGACAGGTATGCTTCCTATTAATTGTTTCACATCTAGATTAGACCTTAAGAATTTCCTAGTGAATAACCATTGCCCTACACAAAATAGGTTGTAGGACAATTTAAAGCAACATTGACATTATATGATCTCATATGTATGGATAGCCATTAATTGGATAGATGAAACTAAACATTTTAGGCCTCTAACATTAACGCATTTATAATGCTGATAGATGACACAAACGAGATAATGCAATAATCAAATCATCCATTAAAACCAAAGCTAATAAATTGCCAGGAAAACAAATTGCCTCTTGATAACAAGAAGCCCGCTATTATGTATGCTTTGTTTTCCTGCTGCAGTTGCCTCTGCAGATAACGCTTTACCAAGTTGGGATAACCCTTCAAGCATGTCCTCTCACAGTGCTAACTACCTCCTGTCTACCTTTTAGCAGTTAATTACCAAACCTGTCATTAATTAATGACAAGAACTAATTTCATATGGATTGCTGAATAAACCAGAAGAAATGTCTTGCATTCCGGCTGCTGGAAAAACAGTTATTAGCTTGCCCAGACTAATTTTTCAAAAGGCTGAATAAAAATGGTGTAATAAACCACTGAGTACAGTTTAATGTAGCAATTATCATCCCAGAATTCACTTTCACAGCAGTTAACAGCTAGCTTGTTAGGGCATTCATCAGCCTTGCTTTTGCTTTGGGTCATTAATTAACAAACCAGTCATCACTTGCTGCTAACAATACATACTTGATGTGTTACTGCTTAATCATAGGATATAGCTTTATGGATGCTTATATATCATTTCACATCCTCTTTGCAACATGGTTCAGATACCTTCCCATATTGCTCAGTAATAAAGGAGAAATCTTTAAAAGATGTAGTGGACATTATTGGGTTGGACAGTGTAATGTCTCTTTAATAAAATACATTTATGTTTTATTTAAAGCATAACGTGAAACACACCATTAATTGCTTAATTTAGTCCAGACTACAAAGCTCTTAATAAATGATACCAAAGCATAACTGCAAGTAGTACAAAGCTCACCAGAAAAAACATGCAATCATTAATTTTTAATTTAGTCTAAATTCAGTCATGAGAAAGCCTCCACATGTCAAAGCAGAAGTTGTTGGATGGGAAGGATCTAATAGGGTATCCATGTGTTCTTTTTTCTTTTCTTCCTTTTTTTTACATTTGGCAGTTCTCTGTTTGAAGCGTATCCTTTATTTCAGCCTGGTCATCTTCAGAGGAATATGGACTGAACTCCCAGAATTCCTGTCCAGTAGGGCCATTGATTGGGAATTCTGGGTGTTGCAGTCCAAATGTGCCTGGAAGGCACAAAGTTGGAGAAGGCTGCTCTACTGGAGGGCTGTCCAGTCCAAGTCCAGTATAAAGTACCATCAGAAGAAAAGTTGGGTCTTGAAGCTACCCATCAATAACACCAAGAACTGAACAGGATGGCATACAAGTCACCTGGTCCCAGTCTTCTACCCTATGGTGAGATGTACTGTTAAATTACCAAGAATCTTTAAATTTGCATGTATATCTATACATTAGCACATATAATTTTATGCAAATTGGCAACTTCTTCTGGCCTCTTTTTTGGTGATGCTTGTCTTCTTTCTGGGTGGTTCACAAGTGGCCATCCTAGTCTGAACTCGCTAAGTAGAAAGTAAGGGCAGAATACTTGCAGAATGAAGACAACCCACAATATGTGAGACAGAGACTGAAGGTCAACAACTAGAGTCCAACATCATAAAAAGAAAAAATGAATTGTCTGAATTCTCCTTTGCCACAGTAAGGTCTGATCATCCTGAAACCAGAGGAAATAGCCCAACTAACATTTCTTCAGAGTTACGTGAAAGAGCAATTGCCTGGAATACAAAAGACCCCAACAGGCCAAATCTGAGACCAAAGGTCACTACTCTTTACTGTTTGGTCCTTATGATTAACATAACATAGACTGATGAAACTACACTTGCAACTTGTTGCTGTTCATATTTACTGAGAAGTAAATTGCTGCTTCTTCAGTGGGATGTACTTTCAAGTAACTGCAGTCTAGGTTTTTGCTCCTGCAAAGTGAAAATCCATGGCACAGAAGACTATTCCTAAATGGACAATAATGCAAATAATCAATTTATGGTGAGTAAAAATACAAAGTTTAAGCTATATTTTCAAACGACAGCACTTTTGTCCGTACAGACATGACTGGCACAAGCCTTGCAAATCCTTTTGTGTGTGTCTAAAGTCACAGATGGTTCAAAGTAGGTCATAAATTTTGAGTGCTTTCAGTTTCAAAGAGAAATAGGTACTATTCTAAGATCTTAAGTCTACATTGCAAAAACCAATAACCACTATCTTACTGCATGCTTCCTATTCTATGCACACATTTTATGGAACATTAAATTTATCTAGCACAACAGGAGACATAAAACATATGCAGGCTGAAGGAAGAGGCATTAATATATATATATATATAGAAAACAGAGATACAGGAAATCCAATTAACCAGGATTTTTAAAGGTACTGCCTAATTTCTTTTCTGTTGACAATCTTCATACTTTGCTCTACACCTGTTTCATAATTTGGCTATCACTCAACAGATTTTTTAAAAAATCATTAGCTTCTTAGATTTTTTTCCTCTTAGAAACCAGATTTATGGAAGTTTCCATCCAATCACCTAGGGTTGTACCTTTAATGGGTTGGATCCAGACTTGAACCCACTGAAATCATTTAGCCCCATGGATTTATGTGATCCTACTCTAATTATCTGGATCCAATCCAGAATAATGAACAGTAACCTCACTGTTATAAACTTCTGGATCATAAATGAAAAAAGAAAAAGAAAACATTAGTAGTTTCTAATATAAAATTGCTTTGACCCAACTGAATCTTGTCTTCTCATGTTCTAGATCCCTAAGCAGAAACCAAATTATGTAGTATTATTATTACCATGAAGCAAATAACACTTAAGTTTTAAAAATTAATCTATTAAGGGCAATCATTTCTGAAGCAAAACTATAACCATGGATCAAACAGAGATATGACACTTCTGCTGCACATTTGAATCTTGTGCGTTGTATCTGTATCTAACACTGGCACTTCCCCTTACAGCCCCCCCCACATACTCAAATCTGTTCCAGGAGGCCCCAAGGTTGTGTGTATGTGTGGGTCACTCAGGGAGTCAGGGGAGAGGAGATGAATGGGACATGCTAATGTAACAGTGAATTTAACCCTACACCTGTACGTTCAAGTCAAGCTTCTTCCATGGACTTACTCTAACCCTTTGGACAAGAAATTGTCTAATGAACACAAGTGTCAATCTCTTTAAAACCAGTTATACTAGCAATCTACTTCACCAAGCTGCTGTGAAAGTAAACACAATAAAGATAAAATTATAAACAGTAGCAACAGCAGTAGGTGAAAGAATTTTTTAT